AAATTGTTACTGAGGGCCACAGGGCCACAGAAATTGTTACTCAGGGACACAGAATTGTGTTACTGAGGACACAGAATTGTTACTGAGGGCCACAGAATTGTTACTCAGGGACAGACACAGAATTGTTACTCAGGGACACAGAATTGTTACTGAGGGCCACAGAACCGTTACTTAGGGCCACATAAACGTTAATCAGGGACACAGAATTGTTACTGAGGGCCACAGAACCGTTACTTAGGGCCACATAATTGTTACTCAGGGACAGACACAGAATTGTTACTGAGGGACACAGAATTGTTACTGAGGGCCACAGAACCGTTACTTAGGGCCACAGAATTGTTACTCAGGGACAGAACACAGAATTGTTACTCAGGGACACAGAATTGTTACTCAGGGACACAGAATCGTTGAATTAAAGAGTATGTCAGACAACATGCAGAGGAGTGGCAGAGGAGGCAATGTTTTAGGAGCGAGCAGACGTGGCAGCAGAGGAAGGGGTCGAGGCAGCACTATTCGCAGCCAGAGGCCAGTGCTCCCGGTGTCATCCAGCGGTCGTGTCTCCACCGACAACCCTGCCGTCATCGATTGGTTGGCTCGGTCGTCTTCCTCTTCCCAGGTCACCTCTGACACCTACAGCCAACGGTCGGTGGGTACGTCAGACACAACCGTTAGTTGGCATGGCCCGGGACCAAGCCCACTGAAATCACGTGTCCTCTACCTGCCCCTGTCCTTTGGTGTTCCCTCACCAAGCGAAGTATCGCATGCTGTGGGCTCAGCCCCACTGTACAGTGAGGAAGAGCTAACAGAGGGCGGTCAGGAACGGGGGGGAGACATCCGCCTTCAGCAGCCAGGCGAAGAAGTAGTGGCGAGGAGAGTGGCTCGGTAGCCGGTCTAGAGACAGGTCTGTCTCCTGACCCAGACGCAGCCGAGGGGGCTAGTAGTGAGGCGGAGACCCTACTTGATGATGAGGAGGTTGATCGCACTTGGCAGCCTCGTCGTCATCAGGCAATTTCTTCATCGCATCATCAGGAGAAGAGGGTGGCAGCTTGGCAGCGAGCAAAACAGTCGGTGGGTTGCCCAGGAGGCAGCAGGGTCGCAGCAGTGTCAGTGGCCAAACGGCCACGGAGTAGAGCACCAGCTCCACTGCAGCCTACCACCACGGCCAGTAGTGGTGCCGGTGTGCACGGAGGAAGCAGCAGTCAGCCAGTGAGGAGTATCGGGGGCAAAGTTTCCTACTCGGCGGTGTGGCAATTTTTCGTCAAGCCGCCCGAGGAAGTAAACGTAGCCGTATGTCGACTATGTGGCCAGAAAGTCAAGCGTGGCCAGGGGGCCCATGTTGGGACTACAGCGTTGCGGCAGCATATGCAGCGTCGCCATTTGGTGGCCTGGGAAAACCGTGATAAAGATACGGCGGTTCTGCCCGCCCCCCCCCGCTCCATCACCCGCTCCGTTACTTGCTCCGTCACCCGACGTCAATCGCCCCTCCATCAGCCAGTCAAGGCTCCAACACCTCTGCTGAGGGGAGTTGTCGCTCGTTGGCATCTTCCGCTCGTTCAGATGCTCCTTCTCCTGCTACTCCTCTTCACGGATTCCGTCAGCAGTCTTTCTTGGAATCCGTTTCCAAGAGACAACAGTTTGCGAGCACGCACCCGACGGTGCAAAAGCTGAACGTCCTCCTGTCCAAGTTGCTGGTGCTGCAGTCCCTCCCTTTCCAAGTGGTGGACTCAGCACCTTTCCGAGAAATGATGGCTTGTGCCGCGCCGCGGTGGAGAGTGCCAAGCCGTCATTTCTTCGCTTCGCCAAAAAGGCAGTGCCAGCCCTGCATTCACATGTAGAAGAGATGGTGGGCCAGTCTTTGAGCATGTCGGTCTCTCTGCCAAAGTGCACGGCAGCGCCGACGTGTGGAGCTGTAACTACGGTCAGGGACAGTACATGTCATTTACGGCCCACTGGGTGAACGTGGTGCCGTCACAGCCGCACCAGCAACTTGGACAGGTCACGCCGCTTTTGCCTCCACGTTTGCACGTCCTTGGTCCACAAAAGATGTCCGCCTCTACCACCTCTTCTTCCGCCGTGTCCTCAGCCGCCACCCCCGTGCCAAGTCCCATTACCCGACCGGCATATCACATGTGCAGGGCGCAACGGTGTCACGCTGTGCTGCACCTGGTATGCCTTGGCGAACGTAGTCACACAGGGGGGAACTTCTCAGTGTAATGAACAGAGAAATCGACAGATGGCTGTCTCCGCGCAAACTGAAAATCGGAACCATGTTGACGACAACGGAAAGAACATGGTGTCTGCTCTGCGTCAAGGAAGGTTGTGCCATGCGCCATGCATGGCTCACGTGTTCAATCTGGTTGTCAAGCGGTTCCTAAAATCCACCATCCCACTGCAAGACATCCTTAAAATGTCACGTAAACTTTGCATGCATTTCAGCCATTCCTACACCGCAAAGCACACCCTCCTTGAGCTGCAGCGGCAGAACGGAATTTCCACAGCATCGCCTGATCTGCGACGTTGCAACAAGGTGGAATTCAACCCTACACATGTTAGACCGCCTTTACGAACAGCGAAAGGCCATCACCGATTTCCTGATGTTACAAGCGGATAAAGGTACTCCCCTGTGTAACTTCGATGTCAGCCATTGGCAGCTCATGCGTGACACCTGCCGCTTGCTCAGGCCCTTTGAGGAGGCCACGCTATTCGTGAGTCGGCAGGACTATGGGGGATGAACGACGTCATTCCTCTGTCACGTCCTTGAACAAATGCTGTTAACAATGGCTGGTCAGGGTGCGGTAGACGTGGCGCACAGATCTCAACGCCACATGACCCCTGTGGGGGCAGGACAGGAAGAAGAGGAGGAGGTAGAGGAGGACATTTGTGCTCAGGAATTATTGAGTGAAATGGGTGGTTTTTCCACTCAGCGGACAGGAGTGGAGGAGCAGGAGCATCTGGTAGAGGAGGAGGAGGAGGAGACAGAGGACCCAGACGCACCGTGGCAGTATGCTGTGGAGATGGAGGCAGGGAGTCCCTCGCATTCCTTGGCACAAATGGCCCATAGCATGCTCGGTTGCTTGCGTAGCGACAGCCGAATAATAACCATCAGACAGAGGGATGACTTTTGGCTGTCCACCTTGTTGGACCCTCGCTACCGTTCAAAAATGGTGGCCTTTTTCACACCTGCTGAGAGGGAGGCCAAAATAACGTACTATAAAAAAACCACCTATGTAGTCAGTTGGTCTCTGCCTTTGTGCGCCAACGTCCATCCTCAGACACTGTGTGGCCCTGTGCGCTCGCGTTCCGCTGCCATGGCAGCAGGGGAGGGGGGGGGTGGTAGGAGCAGTGGCAGCTCCACCAGCAGCGGCTGCCTCAGTCTGCAGTCGATGATGAGTAGCTTTCTTCACCAGCGCAGTGAGGAAACTACTAACAGCCAGCCGCAGCAGCAGCAGCAGCAGCATCAGGTGGACCTGGAGCAGGACCTCAAACAACAGGCTTGGGCCTACTTGGACAGCACCCTGCCAACCGAGGTAGACAATCCCCTTGACTACTGGGCAACGAAACTTGACCTTTGGCCCCAACTAGCTGAATTTGCCCTTGAAAGGCTGTCATGCCCGGCCAGTAGCGTGGCATCGGAGCGCGTGTTTAGTGCGGCAGGAGGTATTGTAACTCCGCGGAGGACACGACTGTCCACCCAAAGTGTGGAGAGACTCACGTTTGAAAAATGAATCAGGCGTGGATTAGTCTGGATTTCAAACCACCAGTTCCTGACACAACTGACTAAATCCGCCATGAATCATGCCTCAAACATGTGCCACTTTCAGGTCTCCTCACACACTGCTGGTGTGTTCCATTTTTTGTCATAGGGTGCTGGCAGATTACGGGCCTCCCATAGCTGCTGCCAGGCCCCTAATCTGCCATGGGCCCCTATATACCGCCGCCTCCTCATGCTGCTGCCAGGTCCAGAGTCTCATGGGTCCCTGTACGGCCTCCCATTGCTGCTGTCTCCATCGCCACTGCTGCCACTCTGCCATGTGCCACTTTCAGGTCTCTCTCACACTGCTGGTGTGTTGAATTTTTTGACATAGGGTGCTGGCAGATTACGGGCCTCCCATAGCTGCTGCCAGGCCCCTAATCTGCCATGGGCCCCTATATACCGCCTCCTCATGCTGCTGCCAGGTCCAGAGTCTCTCATGGGTCCCTGTACGGCCTCCCATTGCTGCTGTCTCCATCGCCACACTCTGCCATGTGCCACTTTCAGGTCTCCTCACACACTGCTGGTGTGTTGAATTTTTTGACATAGGGTGCTGGCAGATTACGGGCCTCCCATAGCTGCTGCCAGGCCCCTAATCTGCCATGGGCCCCTATATACCGCCTCCTCATGCTGCTGCCAGGTCCAGAGTCTCTCATGGGTCCCTGTACGGCCTCCCTCCCATTGCTGCTGTCTCCATCGCCACACTCTGCCATGTGCCACTTTCAGGTCTCTCACACTGCTGGTGTGTTGAATTTTTTGACATAGGGTGCTGGCAGATTACGGGCCTCCTATAGCTGCTGCCAGGCCCCTAATCTGCCATGGCCCCTATATACCGCCTCCTCATGCTGCTGCCAGGTCCAGAGTCTCTCATGGGTCCCTGTACGGCCTCCCATTGCTGCTGTCTCCATCGCCCACACTCTGCCATGTGCCACTTTCAGGTCTCTCACACACTGCTGGTGTGTTGAATTTTTTGACATAGGGTGCTGGCAGATTACGGGCCTCCATATAGCTGCTGCCAGGCCCCTAATCTGCCATGGGCCCCTATATACCGCCTCCTCATGCTGCTGCCAAGTCCAGAGTCTGTCATGGGTCCCTGTACGGCCTCCCATTGCTGCTGTCTCCATCGCCACACTCTGCCATGTGCCACTTTCAGGTCTCTCACACACACTGCTGGTGTGTTGAATTTTTTGACATAGGGTGCTGGCAGATTACGGGCCTCCCATAGCTGCTGCCAGGCCCCTAATCTGCCATGGGCCCCTATATACCGCCTCCTCATGCTGCTGCCAGGTCCAGAGTCTGTCATGGGTCCCTGTACGGCCTCCCATTGCTGCTGTCTCCATCGCGCCACACTCTGCCATGTGCCACTTTCAGGTCTCCTCACACTGCTGGTGTGTTGAATTTTTTGACATAGGGTGCTGGCAGATTACGGGCCTCCATAGCTGCTGCCAGGCCCCTAATCTGCCATGGCCCCTATATACCGCCTCCTCATGCTGCTGCTGCCAAGTCCAGTCCAGAGTCTCATGGGTCCCTGTACGGCCTCCCATTGCTGCTGTCTCCATCGCCACACTCTGCCATGTGCCACTTTCAGGTCTCCTCACACACTGCTGGTGTGTTGAATTTTTTGACATAGGGTGCTGGCAGATTACGGGCCTCCCATAGCTGCTGCCAGGCCCCTAATCTGCCATGGGCCCCTATATACCGCCTCCTCCATGCTGCTGCCAAGTCCAGAGTCTCTCATGGGTCCCTGTACGGCAGATTACGGCCTCCCATTGCTGCTGTCTCCATCGCCACACTCTGCCATGTGCCACTTTCAGGGTCTCCTCACACACTGCTGGTGTGTTGAATTTTTTGACATAGGGTGCTGGCAGATTACGGGCCTCCCATAGCTGCTGCCAGGCCCCTAATCTGCCATGGGCCCCTATATACCGCCTCCTCATGCTGCTGCCAAGTCCAGAGCATGGGTCCCTGTACGGCCTCCCATTGCTGCTGCTGTCTCCATCGCCACACTCTGCCATGTGCCACTTTCAGGTCTCCTCACACACTGCTGGTGTGTTGAATTTTTTGACATAGGGTGCTGGCAGATTACGGGCCTCCCATAGCTGCTGCCAGGCCCCTAATCTGCCATGGGCCCCTATATACCGCCTCCTCATGCTGCTGCCAGGTCCAGAGTCTCTCATGGGTCCCTGTACGGCCTCCCATTGCTGCTGTCTCCATCGCCACACTCTGCCATGTGCCACTTTCAGGTCTCCTCACACACTGCTGGTGTGTTGAATTTTTTGACATAGGGTGCTGGCAGATTACGGGCCTCCCTATAGCTGCTGCCAGGCCCCTAATCTGCCATGGGCCCCTATATACCGCCTCCTCATGCTGCTGCCAGGTCCAGAGTCTCTCATGGGTCCCTGTACGGCCTCCCATTGCTGCTGTCTCCATCGCCACACTCTGCCATGTGCCACTTTCAGGTCTCCTCACACACTGCTGGTGTGTTGAATTTTTTGACATAGGGTGCTGGCAGATTACGGGCCTCCCATAGCTGCTGCCAGGCCCCTAATCTGCCATGGGCCCCTATACCGCCTCCTCATGCTGCTGCCAAGTCCAGAGTCTGTCATGGGTCCCTGTACGGCCTCCCATTGCTGCTGTCTCCATCGCCACACTCTGCCATGTGCCACTTTCAGGTCTCCTCACACTGCTGGTGTGTTGAATTTTTTGACATAGGGTGCTGGCAGATTACGGGCCTCCCATAGCTGCTGCCAGGCCCCTAATCTGCCATGGGCCCCTATATACCGCCTCCTCTCATGCTGCTGCTGCCAAGGTCCAGAGTCTGTCATGGGTCCCTGTACGGCCTCCCATTGCTGCTGTCTCCATCGCCACACTCTGCCATGTGCCACTTTCAGGTCTCCTCACACTGCTGGTGTGTTGAATTTTTTGACATAGGGTGCTGGCAGATTACGGGCCTCCATAGCTGCTGCCAGGCCCCTAATCTGCCATGGGCCCCTATATACCGCCTCCTCATGCTGCTGCCAGGTCCAGAGTCTGTCATGGGTCCCTGTACGGCCTCCCATTGCTGCTGTCTCCATCGCCACACTCTGCCATGTGCCACTTTCAGGTCTCTCTCACACTGCTGGTGTGTTGAATTTTTTGACATAGGGTGCTGGCAGATTACGGGCCTCCTATAGCTGCTGCCAGGCCCCTAATCTGCCATGGGCCCCTATATACCGCCTCCTCATGCTGCTGCCAGGTCCAGAGTCTCTCATGGGTCCCTGTACGGCCTCCCATTGCTGCTGTCTCCATCGCCACACTCTGCCATGTGCCACTTTCAGGTCTCCTCACACACTGCTGGTGTGTTGAATTTTTTGACATAGGGTGCTGGCAGATTACGGGCCTCCCATTGCTGCTGCCAGGCCCGTAATCTGCCATGGGCCCCCGTACCGACTCCTCATGCTGTGACGTTGCAACAAGGTGGAATTCAACCCTACATATGTTAGACCGCCTTTACGAACAGCAAAAGGCCATCACAGATTTCCTGATGTTAAAAGCGGATAAAGGTACTCCCTGTGTAACTTAGATGTCAGCCATTGGCAGCTCATGCGTGACACCTGCGCTTGCTCAGGCCCTTTGAGGAGGCCACGCTATTCGTGAGTCGGCAGGACTATGGGATGAACGACGTCATTCCTCTGTTGCACGTCCTGGAACAAATGCTGTTAACAATGGCTGGTCAGGGTGCGGTAGACGTGGCGCACAGATCTCAACGCCACATGACCCCTGTGGGGGCAGGACAGGAAGAAGAGGAGGAGGTAGAGGAGGACATTGGTGCTCAGGAATTATTGAGTGAAATGGGTGGTTTTTCCACTCAGCGGACAGGAGTGGAGGAGCAGGAGCATCTGGTAGAGGAGGAGGAAGAGGAGACAGAGGACCCAGACGCACCGTGGCAGTATGCTGTGGAGATGGAGGCAGGGAGTCCCTCGCATTCCTTGGCACAAATGGCCCATAGCATGCTCGCTTGCTTGCGTAGCGACAGCCGAATAATAACCATCAGACAGAGGGATGACTTTTGGCTGTCCACCTTGTTGGACCCTCGCTACCGTTCAAAAATGGTGGCCTTTTTCACACCTGCTGAGAGGGAGGCCAAAATAACGTACTATAAAAACCACCTATGTAGTCAGCTGGTCTCTGCCTGTCTGCGCCAACGTCCATCCTCAGACACTGTGGGCCCTGTGCGCTCGCGTTACGCTGCCATGGCAGCAGGGGAGGGGTGGGGTGGTAGGAGCAGTGGCAGCTCCACCAGCAGCAGCTGCCTCAGTCTGCAGTCGATGATGAGTAGCTTTCTTCACCAGCGCAGTGAGGAAACTAATAACCAGCCAGCAGCAGCAGCAGCAGCATCAGGTGGACCTGGAGCAGGACCTCAAACAACAGGCTTAGGCCTACTTGGACAGCACCCTGCCAAGCAACGAAACTTGACCTTTGGCCCCAACTAGCTGAATTTGCCCTTGAAAGGCTGTCATGCCCGGCCAGTAGCGTGGCATCGGAGCGCGTGTTTAGTGCGGCAGGAGGTATTGCAACTCCGCGGAGGACACGACTGGTGGGTTCCATTTTGTCATAGGGTGCTGACAGATTACGGGCCTCCCATTGCTGCTGCCAGGCCTGTAATCTGCCATGGGCCTCCGTACCGCCTGGTCACGCTGCTGCTGGGTCCACAGTGTGACATGGGTCCCTGTACCGCCTCCCATTGCTCCCACTCTGCCATGTGCCACTTTCAGGTCTCCTCACACTCCTGCTGGTTTCCATTTTGTCATAGGTTGCTGTATGGCCTCCCATTGCTGCTGCCTCCACCGCCACACTGTGGCTCCACACTCTGGTTTTGGCCCCGTGACTGCCCAAATGAGTGAAGTGTGCGGTGATTCTAAGATCGATGGCACTCATCTGCATGTCATACTGACTGACAGTATTATTTCTCTTCCCCAGCAGACTCCAAGGGCATTTAAATTAAAGGTACAGTGTTCTGCACTAATATTAAGTCTCTCTGAAGCCTAGAAACACCCTTTTTTAAGTTAAATTCACAGCGAATATATTCGACTCGAATCCAATATTTTCCACGAATTCGCCGAATCAGTCGAATCGAATTTTTGAATACTTTGCTCATCTCTAATTGTCACGTTAGCTCTAAATGTAACAGCTGTTAAAACTCATTTAGTAAAGAACTTGTCAGTGCTAGGACCTAAAACAGCAACATATTTTGTTGAAAAAAAAAACACCTCTACTTGTTCCTAGACACAGTATGTATAGTAGTTAGTTTATTGAGTTTGCAAAGAAATTGTCAGCTCTCTCATCAAAAGCATCATAATGCATGTGTATGTGAACACTTATTTTTTCTACATAAATACTGATTTTAGTATACTGAGTTTGGAAATTGATTATCAGCTCCTGTCCAACGAACTTACCACAAGCACATAAAATGACAATCTGCTTCCCAGACAGCACAAATTGAGGTATTATGGGTAGGTCACTAATTACTCATTTTAAAGGGATATTGTTGTAAAGCAAACTGGCTGAGTTTGCTCCAAGTTATGGAATGCATATTAGAGTTTTTTCTTATATAAGTTTAGTGCTTTTTAAAGTATCTATGGAGGTGATATATAACGTAGAATTATTCTTATATATAAGTTCTGACTTTCTCAATAAAATTTGCTCATTTCTACTTACTACACAGATTAAGAATCTCTGAGAAGTGAAATGTTATCATCAAAAAGAGATGTGGCCCAATGCTGTACAATATGTAAGCTAGTTACATCTATATATTGGGACAACACATTGTTTGTGCTGTTATAGTCATGGGTCACTCACTTGCCTCTTTGGTGACAGTTTTCTTATTAAATGTTCCATTGGAAGCATCTTGCTTTCTGCTCTGGAAAAAGAGTGTTATTGCACTTCTACGTTTGTTTTAACTCTGTTTGCCATGATATATTACATACAGTATGTCACTGGCAACCTAAAAAATGATGTAGCCATGATTTATGATATGACTCCCTGACAGTCAAAAGGTTACATAAAAAGTTAAAATTTTTTTTTTTTTTTTTACTTTTGAACACACTGTGCACTCATGACCCCTGCATTCTGAGCAATAAGCATTTCTGAGACAAACACCTTATAGGATATGCCCTCTTGAGCCCTGAGCCCTGGGTCCTGTGCAGCATACTCTCCTGAGTCCTGCACTCTTTGTGGTATGCACTCCTGAGCCTTAAGCCTTGTGCAATATGCAGCCTTGATCCCTGCACCCTGTGTGATATGCATTCCTCCTGCCCCGCACTCTGTTCATTACACATTCCTTAGTCTTGCCCCCTGTGGATCACTTACCCCTGCACTCTGTGGAATATGCACATCTGAGTCTTGTACTCTTTGTGTTATGGACTACTGAGCCCCACTCTCTGCACATTATGCTTCTTCTAAGCCCTTCACTTCACGCATTACATACTTCTGAAGCCTGCACTTTGTGAATTATGCATTCTTGTGAATGTTGCAAATTTTATATTTCTGACTACTGCACTTTATACATTGCACTATATATGACATACTCCTGATCACTGTACCTGTTATGCTATATTTTACAATACATACTTCTGATAGAGATAAGAACATGTGCTGTTTATTAAATGCATTTTAAATCTGCGAAAATGCAAACTTGATTCCAAATTCATTGAAGTTAATATGTGGGCAAATCTTGAAAAAGAATCCTGCCCACTTTCAAGGCTTATAGACAAGGTATGGTCAACTAAAACACATGGGGAGCTGGGCACTGCCATGGGGCACAGGCAAACAAAAAGTACCATCCAACAAGGAGAGGGCCCATGAGGGCAACATGGGAAAACAACAATATTTCAAATTACATATTTGGGATATGCATGTAATATGAATTGCATAACTAACATATGTAAAACCTTTTTACTTTTATGTTATTCCTTGGCTTACATACAGCAACAGCACCCCAATCTGATCCATTTCAACCTGAAAAAAAAAATGTATTTATTAGGTTTTTGGCTAGGACACCTGGAAGGTTGCCATTTAGAAATAAAGCTAAAGTCCTCAACTTCATAACAGTTTCCAAACAGTGGCAAAAATATATATTTTATAGCTTAGTGTGTCTTCTTTCGATGCAGTATCACGCTATACTGTCTACAAAGTTTAACAAAATTTCAACACAAAATGCACAAAACATTTCAAAACCACAACTCCATATTTTCAGAGACGGGGCAGTTGGTATGCTAAAATAATATTTACAGTGCCATATTTCAGAGACTATAGACAGATATATAGCACAGTGACTAGAAAAAATGTATTGATTGAGCAACAGTGTAAGAAGGAGAGATTATTTTTTATCCAGAATACAATCACCTTATCCAGAAATAAAAATGTTAGTTAATTATTTCAGAGACCACAGTCAGAAATATTGTACAAACTGGCTGCACAATATGTAATCATTTTTACTTGATCTTAATGCAAGAGAGAGAGAGAGAGATTATTGTGAAATAAAGATAATAGTGTAGAAGGAGAGAGGAGGCGGTATTTATTATGAAAAGAGATTACAGTGTATTATGTCAGTGACAAGAGCCAAAAATATTGCACAGACATTCTGCACATCATGTATGCAGTTCCACTAGACCACAATGGATGACAGAGGGACAACACAGTTTTACTGACCAAGGGTAGCTGGGTGCTCTATACATCAGT